GTGCTCAGTTTCTTGACATCAGAAGGGTCCATTTGTGATAATTCTTTGATCTACATACTTAATATTGTGTGCACTTTTCCTTTGTATGTCATGCTGTGCACTTTCCTGTATAACCAATCAGATGTTTACTTTATGCAAGTATATATTAGATAACTCAGAACAGCTGATGCCTCTGGGTGTATATCTCAGAGCCAGATTTAATACCCTGACTCATGCCACTGAACCACACTACCAGCACAAAGCAGGAAGCTTCAGCTTCTCACTGCCCACTGCCATCTTGCTGCCTGGGCACCTGATCCTACTGCAGCTTTCTCCTTGCCCTTTCCAGTTCTTATTCCGTTACAGCCCTCCTAGGAAAGGCGTGCGTGAGCCATGCTTGGTAGCCACACTAGTCCCACCTCCTTGCTTGTGGGGCTCAGGTGGGAGGACTGCTTAAATGCACAAGTTCAACACCAGTCTAGACAACATATTGAGACCCTATCCCCCCCAAATTGAAGTCCGGGGTGGACACCTTTGTTAGAGCCTAGCACAGTTCTCCTTGCTGGAAGGAAGCTAAGAAGGCAGGTGGCCAACTTTTGCAGTGGATGGTAATATCCACCGATATTCAAACCCAATTGGCAGGCTAATGTGTCATACTTTGGGCAGCCATAAAAAGGGAACTCTTTTTTTTAATTGATTAGGTTTATTGGTACATTTTAGGTATGTATAATGATCATATTCACCATAAGGAATTTGTACCTGTACAGGACATATCTAGATTCCTTTTCCCATTCTTCTCCCTCCCTTTAACCCCTCTTCCTCTCCTTATTTACAAAAGCTTTGTTTCCACTTTGTCCTTCTTTTCAAAGAGGGACTTTTTTTTATTTTAGGGAAGGGTCTACATGGTGTTCAGGGTCTTGCTACTATATCAGATTCATAGTGATGCGTCTGTTTACAGCCTCCCAAGAGCTGGGATTACAGGCACACACCACCATGTCCAGTCTCAATCGAAGTCTCAGCACGCCCCTGGGGTGGGGCCTGCACTGCATGCTGGGGATCTAACCTTGGTCCCTGTGTCTGCCTAAGCAGGTGCTTTAATCCGCTGAGCTATCTGGCTAGCCCTAATGTGAATGCTTTTAATGTCAGTAGAAAGTAGATTTCAATGTTAGGAACAATGGACACATAGAGGTAGAAATTCAAGACACTGTGGCATTCAGGTCCAGAGGAAACAGGGACAGCCAGGTTAAAGGGTGTGTTCTGGGAAAGAGGTTTGAGAGATTGAGGAGGAATAGTGTAGAACAAGATGAAGGGTTACTTTAAAATTAGGGGAAGGAATGTAAATTTAATATGAGGATTTGGGAGCCAGTAAAAGTGTTTTTTTTTTTTGCGGAACCGGGGATTGAACTCAGGCCCTTGCGCTTGCCAGGGAAGCGCTTATTCCACTAAGCCATCTCCCTGGTCCCAGTAAAAGGTTTTAAACAAGAGAGTAGGATGTCCTCAGAGGAAGTGGTGTTTAAGAACCGCTAATCTGGCAGCACTTTTAGGGGCAGCAAGGAGGTACCTGTAGTATTTTACAGATGGCGTGGTAAATCAGGAGTCTGAGTGAAATAGGGACAATGGATTTAAGAGAGAATTTGAAGAAAAAAAGCAATAGGGCTTCATAAAGAGAATGAAGTCGAAGTTCTTTCCAAATTGCTTGAGCTGAAGTTGTCAGCTTTGCCTTCCTACTTGGAGGAAGTAGGAGGGTGGATTTTAGTTGTTGAATCTTGGAGTTTAAGATCAGAGGCATTTGACTGAAAGTGATCCCTGTGCAGACTGACAGGGAGACCAGCGGTGGAGGAGGGAAGGGGTGGAGGGCAATAGAAGGAGCTCTTGGAGCCCGAGGGCAGTTTTCACTACTTGTCACAGGCCAAGAAAACTATCTTGAAACTGATTTCATGCAATACCTGTGATCCAGAGCCTGTGCCTTCTACTTTAGGAAACTGTACTCCTCCCACCTGGGAACACCTTGATGCTGTTATTGTTTCATACAGTTTTCTTCCTGCTCCTCTGTTATCTTTGGAAAGTAAATTATTAACACAAGAAAAGCTTTTCTTGGTTATTTATTGATAGTTTCAAATGCAAAAATAGTTTGAAATATAAGGAGAATATACTGAAGCCAAGGGCTTTAATTATCTTTTATAATTTTATTTTTGTCTTTTTGAGACAGTCTCACTGTTCAGTTCAGGCTAGCCTTGAACTCACTTTGTAGTCCAGGCTTGCCTTAAATTCATGGTGATCCTCCTGCCTCAGCCTCCCACATGGTGGAATTACAGGCATGCACCACCACATTCGGCTTAATTTTTATTTAAATTAAAAAGTTGTTTTAGAGGATGGGGCCACATGCTTATAATTTCAGCTATTCAGAAAGCTGAGACAGGAAGATGGAAAGTTTGAGGCCAAACTGGGTAATTTATGTGTGACTTTGTCTCTAAAAAAATTTATTTTTATTTATTTTTGTCTTTTTGAGACAAGCTCTCATTATGCAGTTCAGGCTGGCCTTGAGATCACATTGTAGCCCAGGCTTGTCTCCAACTTGCAACAATCCTGCCTCAGCCTCCTGAGTGCTGGGATTATAGGCATGCACCAAAATGCTAGGTTTGTTTATTCATGTATTTATTTATTTAGTTGGTTGGTTTTTCTGAGATAGGGTCTCACTATGTAGTTCAGGCTGGCCGCAAACTCATGGCAATCCTCTTACCCTGACCACCCAAATTCTGGGATCACAGGTGTGCTCCACTACATTCAGCTCAAAATGAAATTTTTAGAAGGGTTGGCTAGAAGTGTGGTTCAATTGTAGAATGCTTTTGTAGCATGCACAAGGCCTGGGCTCAATCTCCAGTACTATAAAGAAAATCACATGAAAACTATGGACCAGTATTTCTATTTTTTTTAATGTATTCGGTACAGGATCTGTAGGGTCTACAGTGTCTCACTACATAGTTTGGACTCATAGTGATTCTCCTGTTTGCAGCCTCTCCAGCGCTGGGATTATAGACACGTGCCACCATGCCCAGTTTCAATCGCAATCTCAGTGCGCCCTGGGGCTGTGGCAAGGCTGGCATGGCACGCTGGGGATCAAACCCTGGCCACGGCGTTTTGCCACAGTAGGCACTTTATTCTGCTGAGTTATCTGGTTGGCCTTTGGACCAGTATTTCTAATATACATAAATGCAAAAATCCTCAATGAAATCCTAGCAAATCAAATCCATCCACATACTGTCTCAGAAAGATCATTGCTCATGGTCAATCAAGTGGGATATACCCTAGGCATGCAAGGACAACTCAAAGCCTAAGGATTTTAAGCCACATTGAGAGAGACAACGTATGAAAAAGCAAAACTCCAGTTGATTAGACAAATTGAAAGTTGGAGTTCTCTGCACATTGCAGGGTAGCTTCAGATTCATATGATTCATATTCACATTCATATTCAGGTTCATTCTATATTATACTTAGAAAAAAATGGTAATAAAACCTATTTAGGTCTCATAAGGTCTTTCTGAGCCTTAGCCAATATGTTTAGTCACCGTCAGTAATCACAAGCTTTCATGTCCTATTCAGGCTTGCTCAGGCAGCCTGGGCTGTGGAGCATGACGGCCAGCATTTGTGTGCTGCTTGAAAGTTATTGCTGAGGCAAGCCTGCTGAATATTCCTCCCAGGGCTTTGTTCTCTACATTCTGCTGCATGTCCTTACCTGTAGATGACACTGGATTGCTCAAATATCAGTAAAAGCTATGCAGCTCTCTGAACAGGAAATGGCTTCCCCCTCAGGTGAAGTATGAGACAGAGAAGAAAACCTTTAGATGGCTGCCCATTGTTTATGCTGCAAGTGTGTTTGCTGGATTATTTCCTGCTCTGTGTCAGTATTTTGAGGTCTTGGACTCTTCAGTTGGATAGGTAATGTTCCTGTGTTTAAATGTAGAAGGTTAAAATCAAGTTAATTG